ACGTCGCTGCCAAGCGACGAAAACCCAACCCCGATGGCAAACACCGGGGGGGGCGGGGGGGGCGAAATACCTGTCATTCTCTGCTTTTCCCGTAGTCATCTTGCCTTGGTCGGATGTCCAAGCACAAGCATCAAACCAACGAAGAGGGAGTGCGGTGATGCGTGATACGAGGGGTTCCACCCCTCTTGACATTTCCGGCGTTACAATACCAGGGCAGGTGAGGTCGAGACGAGACCAACAGGCACGGGCCAAATGGGGCAGAATGTTCCGGATGACAAACCGGCAAGACCGAAACTGCTTCACAAGCAGAAGTAGCATGTTGGCACCATGGTAACGCCCTGCACGCGTGCTTGTTCGTGCATGTGGTAGCGTGCGTCTTACCTGCAGAGCATCTTCGTCCCTGAGCATGGCCCACACTCTTGCCTCCGACAACTTCCACCCCACCAGATCTGGGCCGAGCACCATCCACGTGTCCGACAGAGAGAATCGCTGTACCTGAACAATAGGACACATACGAGCGAAACATCCGTGCGGCAGTGCTCTTTGGTTGTTTCGTTGTATATGTCATCGCTTCCAACCACCGCTGGGCCCAGCTACACGCAAAAAATATCTATATCCGCGGAGTCATGAACATAAATGGTGGGTGGAAGGTTTGGGACGTTTGCTATGCATGTGATCGGTTCACCAACCAAATGATGTGAAGTAGCGGTTGTTTCGGGAAGTGATGTGGCGGACCTGGGGCATTACTCACCTTGTTGAACCTGCACGTGCCGAAGCCCACCCGAATACCGTCCAAAAACAGCCGGACTTCTGCCGAGCTCTCGTCCCTCGACGTGTCCATTGACACCGCAACGTGAGTCCACTTGTCCAACGAAAACGCCCCAGGCTGTCGGTGGCGGCACGACCGGAGACCGTGTCGCGATCAGGAAGGAGATATTCAAGAGTGGGGTAGGGGGAATTCGAGTCGCCGCTTGTCTCGACCGTGGCGGCATGCCTAACAATAACAATAACAATAACGTTCCCGAGAAGAAACCCTTACAGCATAACAACCAAACCAACAACAGAGAGTCAAGAGCAACAACAACAACAACAACAACAACAACAACAACAACAACAACAGCAACAATAACGACGACGACGACGACGACGACTCCAAAAAACGGGGAAAATCGCACGGTTCGAACATACCTCCGTGTAGACAGCCTCCTTCAGAGCCCCAATCTTGGCGCTTCCACCGCCGAGCCCGTCTTCACCCTCGCCGACGGTGTTGTAGAAACCGGGTCCTAAATCGCGCCGCCCTCCGGGCCCAGGGATGAAGGCTACCTGTAAAAGCAGTCAAGGTGCGGTGGGGAGGGAAGGGGGCGCGGAAATGGTGGCGTGTTGGAAGGCCGAGCTTCTTGTTTGCTCGAGTAGGCCGAGTGAAGCGGGCAAATGTTCGCGAGCACTGGATCTTTGTCGGTTCCAAAACGTGCGCCCAAGCGATACCACCTCAAGCAACATGAAAACACTCGAAGTATACATACATGTGTCAGGTACACACACACGTTGGTTCCATGTCCGGCAAACGGGTACGGTGCACTTGTAGGGTAGATGATTAATAACAACCAAGAACGAGCACGTGAGGACCAAACACTATCCTAAACTTCGTTCCTACGTTACATCTCCAACGTAGAGCAGCCAGGCTCACGTCTGCTAATGATGCTCGCGGTTCCAAGGAAGAAAGTACTTATGCTCTCTCTTTCTCTCTCTCTGTTGCCTCTGTCTCTCTCTCTCGTTCTCTCACCTGACCGTTATTCTCGACCACCAACGACCACACGTGTTCACCCGACGCCGACACACGGCATGCCAGCACATGGAACCCTTGGCGAAACCGTCGCTCCTCCTCCGCTGCTGTTGCTGGCGACGCCTCTTTCTTTTCTCCAATCTCGTCTTCGGCCGGAGCATCGTCGACATTACCATCTTCACCGGCTTCATTGTCCTCGTCGCCGGCGGGTGTTGCCTGCAGCACCAACCACCCACGCCGACAGACGGAGTGTGCCAAACGCACAATATTCGCCACGCGGAAAGGCGTCGACAGCCAGTAGTCGAGTCAGAACAAACCCACAGAGTTTCAGAGTTTATCACCGCCCGCTGCCGCGATAGATAGTTAGATAGATAGATAGAGTAAAAGTCGCTTCAACAGAAACTCGTCAGGGGCGGATCGCCGGCACATGATCCGCCCAAGCCATAACCCAGCCCTCAATATCGACACATCAAAGGGACACCCACATTTCGTCCCCAGCATACTACCAGAAGACGATAGACGAACACACAAGGAAGGTGCCCGGAGCTGTCGCCGGCACGCTGAAACAGACAACATCCATTCCCCAACTGCCACCGTCCCCGACATGAAGCAGGTGGACGGGCGGCCTGCACGAAAACCACCGCACGAAGTATGATACGTAAAACCAAAACAACACGTATCTTCCCCCTCCAATTCCGCCCCAAAGCCAACCCTGAGGGGGCAAGGTGCAAAAATAGGATTGGCCTGACCTTACCACGTAACGGAGTGTTATACCTCCTAAGCTGACCACCAACTGGAGCGTCATACAATACCTTCTTCCCGGCGTTAACCCAGACTTCCACCGTAGCCACGCTGCGCCGCTGGTCGTCGTGGAAAAGCCCGACGTCAATGCTCGAGCCCCTGGCGGCTCTCACGAACACCCCTCGTCGGTATCCTCCCGCAATCGTGACGTCATTGCTGTCTTGAACCTGAACCGGGCCTTGATCCTCGGCAGACGGCGCCGAATCCTTCTTAACCTTGTTCACGGTACAAATCGGTTGTTGTTAGGACGTCCAACCCTCTGTGACTTTTCCCGCACAACCACACGATAGCCGAGACATGACATGCTAAACCTAAAGCCGTCCTCCTGGTCTGGGGGCATGTCGTACATACAGATTGAATGAATGCTCTATCGTGGAACTGGCCCTCTGACGATGCATTGTGCGATAAATGGAGTACGTCACCCGTGGTCAGGCCTCCACCGGGCTTCCGCGGGAAGAAAGCGAAAAAATTCGGCAACAAGGAAGCCGAACGGATTTTGGGCATCGAGGCCGAGAACCAAAGGCCTCAATTTACGTTGTTTAATATGGTAGCGAGCATTAAGGACACAACCGGGCGAGCGTTGGGCTCCCTTTTCATTCGACCACATCACATCTTGCGCAGATAAAACTCGACCGAAACAATTCCAGCCTAATAGCACCAGGTCGCAAGGACCAGGCCACTTCTATCATACACCCCGCTCAACATTGTATTTCCGCCGCACACGACCCGAGCCGACAGACACCCCAATAGAGGAATAGAAGGCGTGCCCACCCACCCGTACCTCGTCCTCGTCAGGGAAGGAAGGGAAGCACACGTCCACCGCCTCGGCGACTTTCCCTTTGTCACCGGGGTCCACCGGCGACGACGTCGTCTCGAACGTCAGCCCCTGCCCCCTCGCGACCGCCGTGGACCCATACTTGGTCAGGTCCTTCATCTCCACCTATCCAAGCAACATCGCGTGTGTTTGCACATCAGTTAGTGCAAATATCACACATCGATAGGTGGCCTCTGCTGCGCAAACCCGCAATATTTATTGGCCAGGTCAGGTCAGGTCAGGTCAGGTCAGGTCAAGTCAGGAACCGCTCCTATCAGACAATCGCTTGTACGATCGCCGGCCAGCCTTCCGGCCGGCAAAATGGTGTCTTCTTCCGAACGAACGAACCAAAAAGCTCATGACGCCCCAAATTGCGCATAGAACGGGGAAGACAGCGTGAAATAGCACGTTCTCCGCAGCTTGTCGTAGAGATGTACCGCCACGAGCCAAGGTTTGTTCGCGGTGGCAGGAATGACGCAGCGGGCACCAAATGACGGTTTTACGCCCACGACGACGAACCGACAAAAAAAAACATGCCACACACGCACATGGTCTAACGACTACGGCATGCACGACTATGAGTACACCCCCCCCCCCACACACACACACACATACGCACACATGCCCCGAACACCTGACGTTCTTTCTTTCATTGTTCAGTCGGTTGGCGCGGTCGATGACAACTAAAGAAACACGTGTCCCCTGCGACGTATTCCACCCGTAGCCAATCGCGGCCTGCAGCTTCCGTCCTTGCAATACAACGCACGCAAAACACACCGACTCCAACGCATACCCCTCAATGAATCATCTTTTCTCCTCCTACCTCCTCGTGACGTTACTGAACCACAAAACGAAGATGGACCTCTACCACATCGCCCCCGGCTCTCAAAACGGTCTGGACATATAGCGGCCCAATCCGGACCGCCGAAGCCCATCCCTTACCTGCTTCCCATCCTCCAGTTCTCCGACAACCGCGGCTCCCTCACTAAACCTCCAGTACCCACACACATTATCCTCGTCCTTCCACGAGCCCCCCACTGGTACCCACGGTTGCTGTTGCAGCGTCTCCTCCATGTTGCCGTCAACACTGCCGGGTTCCGCCGCCCCTACGGCCGACTGCGAGGTCCTTGACGACCCGTGACCTGTTGTTACCGCCTCATCAGCAGCCCCGCCCTGCTGCTGCCTCTGCGATGCAGGTTGCGACTCGAACAGCATGGACCTCGCCAACCCACCGACGCCACCGGTTTTGCTAAAGCCAGCGTTAGCGCCGGCGGTGGGAGTTGCGGGAGTCATGGAGGCGGCAGGGAAGAGGGGCTGCTGACGACTCGCAAATATTTCCATTGCCACTGTACCGCCGGCGGAGTTCACCTTGGTCGGGGCAGCGAAGCGTAAGGGAGAGGCAGCGGAGGAGGGGGGGGGGTGTACTCATAGTCGTGCATGCCGTAGTCGTTAGACCATTGACCTCGCATCCCTACAAAGCCGGGACGGAGCACGCCGGGTTCTCACCGGACCAGGCTCTCACATCACCAAGCGCGAAGCGCCGTGAGATATTCGGCGAGTCGCATGAAGGGTGCGCTGCATCCTGCTAAGGGTTTTCGGCATCTTGTGCTTACTTCCTTGCGTACGGATGACAGCTGCGTATGACTTAATTTATTTTCTGGTGCTTTCACTTCCAGAGACAGTTGTAAGCACTGTGTAACTGCCTCGAGGGTGCTTGACCATTTTAACACAACGTGGTGCGATCATCCCCCTTGCGCGGAGTGAGGGTTCTCCACCCCGCACAACATGATCTACTCGACCACCATTATGGATACCGCCAAAAAAAAACAGAGGTAAAAAAAAAAAAAACAGTAACCTAGTTGCCGAGTTCACGAAGTGAATTGGCTTGTTTTACAACGTCGTTGCCAAGCGACGAAAACCCAACCCCGATTGCAAACACCGGGGGGGTAGGTGGGGGGGGGGGGCTATAGCAGACGGCCTACAGGTTCCCAGAATGAGAACAAGGGAGAGCAGTCCTTGGCGGAAGCTACGAGAACTTCTTGGGGGAAATGCGTTATCGCATCCTCAACTTCGATTTCGCACTTCGTTGCCGTGAAGCTTCACCTAAACCCGTCAGCAGAGACACTAAACACTGTCATTTCCCAGCAATATGAGCTTGCGGAGGCTGCACGACTTGAAGGACCACATCATATGTAGATACCTCCAGGCACTCCGGCCGGATCCTGCCCGACCACTGCTCCGCACAGTGCAGAGCTAGGGGCCGCAGACAGGAGGACGGAGGCCCCTCCCCGACACGCCCTCCGCCGCCGAAAGTAAGTCCCCCTGCCGGCTTCGCCTCTTCCATGATGACGTCCCACTTCGCCCCTCCCCCCGCCGCCTCGAGGGCTTTCCCTTTGAGGCCCCCTGATGATGAGGATGCCTGTGGCGGTTGAGTGCCGTGCGAGGCTTCAGGTTTCGGGGTGGTGGTCAGTCAGTGCAAGTGTGAACAGTCTGGCGTCTCTCTCTCTCGTCTCTCTGTCTGCCTGTCTCTGCCTCTCTCTTTCGTATTCCTTTCTCGTCTCTCTGTCTGCCTGTCTCTGTCTCTGTCTGTCTGTCTCTCTCTCTCGCCACTATTTGGTTGCGGTGGGGCAAAGCTTTAGCATTTTTGTTTTCGCATTGGTGGAAGCGGAGAACGTGCTATTTCTTTGTGATTCCAGCCGGAAATAGTGGCCATGTGCAACATGTGTAGGACGGCCCTGCCCTACACCGTCAATCGAAACCTTGTTGTGCAGCAGGGCGAGCAGGGCGAGCGAAGGAACTAACCCATGACTGGTGGGACACCAGAAAAAATACAAGATGCGCATGAGGTCAACACAGCAGGGGTGAGCCATAAACATGCAGACAGCTACAGCGCCGTACGACCTAGCTACAGATATTCGTAGATACTCCCCTTCACCAAACGTCTGCGACACCCTTCAACAGATAACGGACGCATGACCCACCTGAGGGAACCGCACAACCCCAGCCAACAGCGACGTGCGCCGGAACAGCCCCGCAGCCTGCGCCGATACCTCCCCTGTAGCCTTCCCGACCCCCCTCCCCCCTCTAGCCTCCCTGGCAGACGTCAACGCCCTCAGCTGATCGGCTGCGGCGGCCTCAACTTCAGCAGCAGCCTCAGGCTGGGTTTCGACCCCATCTGGGGCGGTTTGTGCTGCTTCGTTTTGGGACCCACTCGGACATGTGTGACCGTTGACATGACTGTTGAGAAAGCTGGCGAGTCGGGCATCTTCTCCGGAGATGTCGAAGAGACGTGCGGCTGCCTCGTGGAGGCCGAGACGAGCGCTTTGCTCGCCGAGGGAAAGTGCCATCCGAGAAAGCCTGATCTCGTCCACAACACAGGCACGAAAACGTGCGCCAAGAACCAAAAACAAGGTCGTGGAAGAATGATGGCAGTGCCGTCCGGAGCGAAGTATCCAAAATGCTCTCGTGTGACAATCAACGCTGCCCTCGAACGCAAAAATTCACTACTGTGGTTGGTGCCTCCCGCCGGCTGCTCCAACCAAGGACAAACCGGAGTCTTCGACGTCGCCGCAAGGGGGACTTGTCCGCTAACGGAAGCATTTAGCCGGCCACACAAATCACCCGCATCTAAAGGTACCGCCGATCAGCGCCATCTGAAGCTGTAGTCGACGCCAACGGGGAGGTGCAACGTCTATTTTCATACATAGCTCGACTGTAACAATGATTAGTACCATGTGCAGGCCAACACGGGCTTTTTCCTCTGCAGGACAGAAACATGATCAAGACTAGAGGTACAAGTATGCTGCTGCTTGTCTCAAGCTGTACTCTCAACACTTGAAACGGCCATAGGTTCGAGATATCTCGTACCTGACCTGGCCAATCCAGCACATGTCTCGAATAATGCTGTGCTTCAGCAGTATTCATTGTCTTTGCCATTTGAATGGGGACAAGGCTAGGCCCCATTTGAGTCACGACAACACCAACGATGCCACCACACCACACTCTCGTCCCTACACAAAAAAAACAAGGTCCCAAACCTTTCGCCGCAATCAATACCAACAACATGTGCAAGTGGCACGTCAGCACACCATACAATGCGTACCAACCAGAACGATCTACTTCTTCTACAAGTGCCCCGTGTACTGCTGTACTGTACCTGCTACCGACCGCAGGGAGAACGGCCGAGGTCATGGCGTCCGGGTCGGTCAAAGTGTCGACTAACGCTGGGTCATCCCCGATCCCCTCGATCATGGCCGTCAAAGGAAGCTCCAGCGACGCGGCACAGTGGCTCCGCTCCAGGGGGGAGATCCAGGGCCGCCTGCCACCCCCCGGCAGCAGCAGCAGCAGCAGCAGCAGCAGCAGCAGCAGCAGCACGGCGCCCATCGTGCACAAGACGTGTCGCATTGCACGCCAGAGCCAGGGAAAGGCGGGAGGGCGGGAGGAGGGGAGGAGGGACGGAAATAAGTTAGTGTGGCAGCAGCTCGGGAGTCAGGTCCACCCCAAACAAGATCTCCTCCACACAGCGATCTCCCCCCTTCACTCCCACTAGTAGCACTGTAGCACTGTAGTTGAGGCTTTCCCGGCATTGTAGCTGCTTTCGATGCCACATGAGTCTTGTGAAAGTATCACACCTCCTCTCCGTTACTTTCTATCGTAATATGCACGAATCCACGATCTCCCACGATCTCCCACGATCTCCCACGATCTCCCACGATCTCCTACTACCGTCCCACAACGCCCAACATGCGGCGCAAATACTTCGATCTTGACTGTTTCCCTTGCCTTTGCGTCTTGTCATGCACTCGCTTTGCACCTATTGCAATGCAACGTTGAGAGCCGCAAAGCCTACTCATATGAACTTGCCAACTACCTGCTGCTACTGTGCTTCACCGCGACAAAGACGGACCACAACCCTCTCAGTCGTACATGTCATCCAACATGTCATCCAACATGTCATCCAACATGTCATCCAACATGTCATCCAACATGTCATCCAACATGTCATCCAACATGTCATCCAACATGTCATCCAACATGTCATCCAACATGTCATCCAACATGTCATCCAACATGTCATCCAACATGTCATCCAACATGTCATCCAACATGTCATCCAACATGTCATCCAACATGTCATCCAACATGTCATCCAACATGTCATCCAACATGTCATCCAACATGTCATCCAACATGTCATCCAACATGTCATCCAACATGTCATCCAACATGTCATCCAACATGTCATCCAACATGTCATCCAACATGTCATCCAACATGTCATCCAACATGTCATCCAACATGTCATCCAACATGTCATCCAACATGTCATCCAACATGTCATCCAACATGTCATCCAACATGTCATCCAACATGTCATCCAACATGTCATCCAACATGTCATCCAACATGTCATCCAACATGTCATCCAACATGTCATCCAACATGTCATCCAACATGTCATCCAACATGTCATCCAACATGTCATCCAACATGTCATCCAAGACTCGAAACAAGCAGGGTAGCTAGTGTGGAAGCACTCACACCATGGTAGGAGCGCGTGTTTCTTAGAACTGCAGCTCGGAAAACCAACGAGCTTACCAAAGCAAAAAAACGAACCAGAGAGTGCACAGAAAGGGATCCCGTCGGACCAAACTCACCGTGCAAATTTAACACGAATCACCCATACTCCATACCTTCGCATGAACACATCCGATGCCCGAGTCTCCATCGCCTCCCCGCCGCTGCTGCTGCTCACCCCGGCAACCTCCGCCGCCAGTACGTGCAGCCCATAGCGACTGAGGACGCGGAACGCCGAGCAGGTGGCGCCCGCTCCGAGACCCGGCCCGTCCCCGGGGTTTGTGCCCCGGGGAAGGCGTGATCTAGGGGGGGCGTACCGCGCCACAATCCTGAGGAGACGGATATTTAAGAAATGGTATTGTCCGTTGGATGATGTGCAGGCAGGGGTATCGCACCACCCCGTCAATACGTCAAGGAGCCGGGGGGGGGGGTCGGGGATAGGGTTTAGAGTACGGGGGGGGGGGG